TGCCAGTCAGCTTTATCTAATTTCCACCTTGGTATTTTCACTTCCCCATCCTGGTGTACCTCTATGCCAATCCTAGTTATTATTGGATAGTGATCACTACCCACTGTCGACCTACCAATTACTTCCCATGCACTAATTCCTGCAATTTCAATTGACACTAGTGTTAGATCAATAGCACTTTCTGTATTACTTGAACTATTATACCGTGTGCCCTTTCCATCATTAATACACACCAACTCCTTATCATCTATAAATTTCTCTATTGCTAATCCATTTATATCTGTGTTTTTACTTCCCCATAATGTACTGTGTGCATTAAAATCCCCACATACCACTATTTTGCCCTGCATTGATCCGCAAACTAATTCCAACATATCAGTACTTAATCTATTGCAAGGGTTGTAAAAATTGGCTATTTTTATACTGTTTTCCCCTGACCATACTTCAATTACAACAGATTCATGTTCTTTCCCTTTACTAATAAGTTTATATCTTACCCCACTTTTAACAAAAGTTGCTACACCTCCACTTATCCTGTTTCTCTATCTCTCCTAATTGAAGTATATCCATACAATACAAAGTCCAACTGTGGTTTTAACCATGTTTCTTGCACACATACTACATGAGGTCTATCTGCTAAATCTGAGACAAAACTCTTGAATTCCTGTCCATTTGCTATAAGGCTCCTGGAGTTCCATTGCAATATAGCTAATATCATAAAGAGCCACCAACCCATGTCTGCGAGCTTGTGCTTCCTGCCACTATCATTTCTTCCACTACCTCACAGCTAAGCCCTTTTATTCCTAAATGACCAAACAACCTTGTTGATCATTCTGCTGAAAATATAGGTGATATATTTTCTCATGAACAGAAATAAACCTTAAATCGCAAATATCATTTTTTTATTTTTAACAATATAATTTATAAATGAGTTTTTTCTACATTGTGAATAGATGTCGAATATGCACACAATTACAAATGTGTAGCGGTGTTCTTATTAACTAAAACTAAAACCTTTAAAAATCACTTTCGGTAATTGAAATAAAGCTGAAGTATAAGTATTAGATGAAAGTGTACAACTTAAAAACGTATTAAAATGATTAGAATGAGCAATGTTGCCTTGGCAACAAGTCGAAGTAGGCTACTAAAATCACTAAAATTAAAACTGAAATAACAGGAAAGCTAAAAAACGAAATATAAAACTACTAATAAAAAACGTAGCACAACAAATTACTCAAATTAAAATGAAAATTTTAGTTTAATAATAAAAACCGAAAAAAATACATAAATAGCCTAAATAAAAGCTAATTAAGAATTGTGATATTATATTATACTATATTATAGTATATAAATAATACTAAAATAACACTGGTATACATTGTCTGTGCCTTCTCCATTTTTAAAAAGTGTATTTCAAAGTAAATTTAAAGAGTGAAGACAAGTAATGTCTAAGTTTCTAAGTTAATAAATGCATTACACCACCTTAAATGGATTTTTAAAACAGTGTTGAGAGTTGTACAGTACAAATCCTTTAAAAAAAAGGGAGAAGTTGTACTGCATATTACAGTAGCTACAACATTACTGTCCTTTCTACCAGGACATTATCTACGTTTCCTTTAACCCTTAAACACAACAAAATGCAAGTAGACACCTGTGAAAAATCAATACGGACAATTAATTCATATTAACACAGTACATTAGGACATATTTTACGGACTTTTATTAGAGTGTATAGCTTAGGCTAATAATTTTACATGTTTCCTGCAATGACAAATACAATACACTAGATGGCAGTAACTGCTCACTTGAATTATGTCCCAAAACATCCCTAGGTAAAAGACACTTAGTAGAAGACATTTTGTGGTTTAGTTTAATTTTAGTTACTAATAAATGATAAAAATATAATACATGCTTGTTAATTTGATAAATATCTTTATATGTCAAAACTGAGTTTAACTGTGTCTTCAGAACAGCCTTAATCAGCGAATCTGAGTGGATTCACCAAGCCTGGCCCATCCTTTATCATGAGAGCTTTACAATCCTCCTGACATGCCAGAATCTTACATTTGCTTTTTTACAGAACCATAAAAGGCAAACATTTGGCTCCCAGCCCAGAAACTGATACCAAACATAGACTGAATATGGGAAAGAGATGTTAGCAACTACATTCCACATCCGTGAAACTCAAACAAGGGGATGGGTTTCTGAATAAACAGCCATGCTCAGGTGACAAAAGGAGGACTTTGTGTACTCTTCCTGGCATGTTTCCTCTGATGGCACACACGTTGAGGAACAATTTACCTCTCAGATCTGTCTGTCTCATGGTTACCAGAGATTTGTCTTGTGCCTTATCTTTTGTTGACATGTTTAGCATGCAACTGTCAACCCACTGTATTACACAGAGAAGCGGTGGTACACTGAATACAGTGCAATCTTATGGAAACATTTGACTCTTCTCATGAACTGTTGGATGCCTTATTACTAATTCAACCAATCCAACTCATCTTTTGCATCCAACAGAAGAAGCAGAATAATCTGTTTAAACCACCACGACTACTACACAAATAGAAAAATGTTAGTTAATGGTTAACAATTCTGAATTCTAGGACATTTAAACCTACTGTATTATTTTAAGAAACTTGTAGCTAATTGGAAGCCATTACAGACATAAATCCACAAAATGCATTTAAATCTTGCAAACAGGATGGGCCAAACAGCTTGACACTTCATTGAGATGCTGACCGAGCTGTTCTTTCTCTCTCAAGCCTGCTGCAATTAATGTGTCAGTCATGAGGTGTGTGATAACTGGGCTATTACTAGCTCGGCTGACCTTTTTAGCAAACGGAATTGCAATACAAAAGGGAACATCTTTTGCTTTAAGCTTACTGGGGATGTTATTGTAGCAGTTTTATGCCTAATGTATTTCATAGTTTGATATGCATACTTTCTTTTTGAAGCAATAGTTCACCGAAAAAAAATCAAATTGACTGAAATCTACTGATTTACTGAGTTTGTTTCTTTATTGGAATAGATTCAAAGAAATGTAGCATTACATCACTTGCTCACCAATGGAGTGAATGGGTGCCGTCATTACGTCACAATTATCCACACGACTCCAGATCAACAATCAGCATTTGTGTGTGAACAGTTGTGTAAGAAACAAGTCCAGATGGTTTAATCTTTTCAAATCGTAGCTTCTGGCTAAAATACAAATCCATAATTCAAAACCCTTCCTTCAGTGAAAAATATCTATCCTATAATATCTATAATATGGATAGACACGCAGCTTTTCACTTCACAAGACATTAACTGATAGACTGAAGTTGTGTGGATTACTCATGGATTATTGTGAATGTTTTTATCAGCTGTTAGAACTCTCATTATGACGGCACCCATTCACTGCAGAGGATCCACTGGTGAACAAGTGATGTAAAACTAAATTTCTCTGAATCTGTTCTGACGAAGATGCAAACTCATCCACATCTTGGATGGCATACAGGTGAGTAAATGTTCAGAAAATGTTCATTTTTTTGGTAAACTATATACTTTTAAGGTTTGCAGATATTTTAACTGTTACTTAAATGAGCATCCAGGTATCCATAACCTTTTGAAGTTCTATGATTTTTCTGGTCATTCATGTTTTCTGCATAAACAATTTTCAACCATTTTAGATTCAAAACATTCTATGCCTTAAAATTATGAGCATAAAAAAACCCCTAACAACTACATTCATTTTTATGGCATTTCAGGCCCGGAAATTACAATTTTAAAATGATCAGATATTTACAAAAATTCACTGACTATGGGAAGCAGATAATATAATATATTTTATAATATTATATTATAATACATTTTATATGGTCATGGTATAGTATAAATTATATGGTATATAGTTTGAAACTCTACATACAGGTGCATCTCAATAAATTAGAATGTCGTGGAAAAGTTCATTTATTTCAGCTTCAGTCTGTGTGCATTGAATTTATTTAATACACGAGTTTCACAATTTGAGTTGAATTACTGAAATAAATTAACTTTTCCACGACATTCTAATTCATTGAGATGCACCTGTAGACCTAATCTGAGAACATATTTGGACCATCACCTCAGCCCTCAGCTATTTTCATCTAGAATAAACCAGTAGAGAACAGGCTAAATTGAGATTAAAGTGTCATGATATGCAAGATAGTGTCAGTCAGGGAAAATCACCTTCTACTGCAATGGACAGAGATCTCGACAGATGGGCTGTGAATCTGAGCTGTAAGATTATGCTGATTGCCTTTTTTG